CAGGAACAGAAAAGGTAAACATTCTTTGTATATTTTTAACTCTATTTTATCTCCTCTTTGTATTGTGAAATCTTAAAACCTAATTTGAAATATGTAGGAAGGTTTTTGTGCATGAAATTGGTGAATAACCTAAGGTACGAAAAACTGGGAGTATCTTTCAGTATATTTTACCTCTACCTCTGTTCGTAAACCGACATGCATTTTTCTAAACAATAAATTTTTTTAATTGCAGGTACATATCCATACATACATCCCTTATCATTACTGCACAAAGGTAGACATCTTTACCTAATTACCATTCTCAAGCGCAGGCCTATTGCATTAAGGACAATACTTTCTCTTAAATTAAAAGATAACGTAACTAAAACATATTTTTGTAATTTCTATTATATATATACTCTATTTTTCTAACAATAAACTTAAAGCAGTAAATTTATAGATTGGTACCTTTGTCAAGACCTGAATCATAAGGTCTCTTGATCTTATATTTTCCACCCTTTGTAATTTTCTGCATTGCTTTAAGATCATGAGTCACCTTTGAGGACAGAAAAATTCGAGGGGTCGTGAGGTAATTGGTTTTTTACAGCACAAAAATTGTTTTGAGTGAATATTCTGAAGAATTGTGTGAGAGAGGGCGGTTAGTTGAACTGATTATTTTTGAAAAACCACCCACTATCCTTTTTGTTTTTTTATATCAAAATAAATCACGAACCCAAATCTGTTACCCATTCTTACTTTTTTTGGCCCACTCTTATTTTTATTCGTTGCACTGTAATTTTTTATTTTTTAAATGTATGTATGAATGTAATAAATTTCCTTTAAGGTATTTTATTCTGATAATCTAATATTTACATTATACTAAATTTATTTTTTCAAAATTTTTATAATAAACCATTCGCTAGTAAAAAGTCATTAAATTATTTAATGACATTTTTAGGAGTCCATCATTCGCTGGAATTTTACCCTTGAATTATTGTTGTGAATGTATGGATGTATGTTCATTGGCTTTGTACATGTTGAATGCGTGTATGTTTACGATACTTACTTCCATTGTATTCAGAAATGCACCATCACTGTAAATAATACTTAGGAGAAAAACATTTGACTATATAATCTAGCGGGTTGATTAAGGATCTGATGTAAGTACCTATTGTAGATGATATATACTTCCATTGGATCCTTAATCAAATGACGGTGTACAATTGGAGAGGGTTCGGGGGGTGGGGCTTTCGCAGGGGGCAGGCGAGGAAGAAAATATCAATTTAACGAACGGAGCATTGGTCAAGATTAGGAATAACATTTTTAAAAACATAATTTCAAACATTTATAAAATTACATTAAATTTTTTTAAATAATAGTTTTTTTGTTTCTATATGGTGCCTTAATTCCGAATCTCAAAATCCAATCTTTTTAAGTATTAAATTTTTACTAATATTTTAAGTTATTTGTTTTAGTAATGATAAATATTTATTTTACTTTAACTTTTTTATTATATAACATATTTTTTCCGAATTTTACTTTACATTATATATATATAATTGAAATAGAAATGAATCAAAACGGAAATTCATTAATTCAAACACAAAGAAAGAAGTACATTAACATTACTTAGAAGATAGCCACTTCCATTACCATGTTTCCTGTGCCATATCCAGGTTGGAAACTTAGTTTGAAGGGTCTTGTAAATATAAATATATAAGAAAACACCCCTGTGACACACACAGGTTTCAAACAAAGTGTGGAACACACTGGAAGACTAAAATAAGATACGCACTGTCCCCGATGTGTTGAACTTGTGCATAGCATATAATTCAGACATAGGGTGCATGTTATTTAACGAACATAAATCTGCAAACAGTACAATTTAGTAGATAACAATCTAGGAGATAAGATCTTCGATAACAATCCCATTTCTTGGTTTCTTTCTGGGTTTGGTTGTTGAGCTCTGATCCTTGAGGAGCTTACCAAATTCTTCATCTTCTAGACTCCATTCCACAACTTTTGCCTTGCCTTTATTCATTTGCCTTGTGCCTTCTTCATTTGAGGCAATCTGATATAGAATTTAAATAGTCATTCATAGCTCCCCTTTTTATCATTATCCTCTATATTATGTAATTAGTTTGGGACACTACCTGTTCTGTGTTGAATTCTGAAAAATCAAAGCCATTCCATCCATCCATCTCGTCTTTAACTGCTGCAGGGGATTTGTACTTGGCAATTGTCTTCGGGTCCGTAATCATTGTCAACACACCAAAGCTCCTTGGTCCTTCGTACTTAGTGTAGAGGGAGGCGTTTCTCAAAACAGTTTTAAACAGCCCGGTCTTGGAAAGTACTTCTTGCTCAAGTTCTTTCGGAAACTCACGGTCATCCCCGGTTCGCTTTAAGAAATAATAAAACATTTTTTACGTTATCAATAGGGTAATAATTGTTCTTAATGAAAAACATTTTTTTGATTCAATAATCAGCAAACCTTGATCATAATCTCTCTCATTTTTGTGGCGGACATACCCATTATCTCCTTGCACTCCTTGTCCCAAAGAACAAATGTTGCAGTGCCTGAGGGGTCTTTCATAGTCACTGTAACTTTGTACCTAGTCATTAAAGGGACGGAAAACTTTGATATCAATAATCTAACATTAAGAAAAAAAATAATATTTTTGAAATAACTCTAAAGTGTGACTAATATTTTTGAAATAAAATTCTGAAGAAATTAGATTTAATTGATTATTATACCTGTACTCCCCGGTGGACATAGTATTTTGGCATTGAAGACACTGAAAAACATCGCCCTCTTGCACTATCTTTCGACTACAGTTTTTGTTTTTGCAACTCAAATAGGACCAGTCATTGTAGTTCTCAATAGTGACAATGTCAGCCATAATCCAGAAATAACCATCCTATTCACCAAAATCAGTTAAAATATAAATCCAGTAAAAGTAGGGAAGAATTTTTTCGAGTAGTTTGTCCAACCTCAGTTTCATTAAGTAGGTTGTGAATGCTAGTAATCTTTAGGTTTCCACTGGTGTTTTCTGTCCCCTCACTACTTTGTGTGCTTTGTGTGAGAGTAAAGGTGCTTGAGGATCTGCACTCATCAACCTCGGTCTTAAATGTTTTGAGA